TCCGACTGGAGGTCAGAGACGGCCAGGAGGCCTGAGGGAGGAAGGTGGAGACTACAGCAACCGGCAACCTGCTACCAGCAACCTGCAGCAACCGGCAACTTCAGGAGAAACTGAACAGAACCAGGATCGGTTTGGATTGGTTCGGTTTGGATCGGTTCGGTTTGGATCGGTTTGGTTTGGATCGGTTCGGTTTGGATCGGTTTGGTTTGGATCGGTTCGGTTTGGATCGGTTCGGTTTGGATCAGGATTCATGGTGGGAACTTTAACATGTTTATTCAGATGAATTTAACTCAGCAGCTTTTGAAAGTTTCTGTTTCTCCATCACTATGAGTCTGACTGTAAATGGATAAGAAGCTGCTTCTCTTCTCTTCTCTTCTCTTCTCTTCTCTTGTTTTGTTAGTTTCTGCTAATAAATGATCTGATTGGACGCTGGAAAAAGCCTAAAACAGCATCGCTATGCTACACATTAGCAGCTAATGCTAAGGTCAGCAGTGTCCACATTTCTAAAGAAGCTCCATGAATGATCAGCAGTTCCTGAAACTCTGGAAAGATTTTCAGGAACTCAACTTTTTCAAACCATTTTATAAAGTTCAGATTAAATTAGAGGTATAGGAAGGAGATCAGCCTGATCAGAACCCATATGGGTCCAAACACACTGAAATCAGGTTCTGATGCAGATTAACAGATGAGACAGAACCTGAAATAATCCGTATATTTTAGATCTGCAGCAGGAAAACTAAACAACTATTTTTCTTATTCTGTTTTTGTCCAAAAGTCTCATGAGAGCTAAACATAAGGAGGACAAAAAGTGACAATAATCATAGAAACAAATAAACAACAAATGGTTGAATGGTTGAATTCAACAAATGGTTGAATGAATGAATGAATGAATGAATGAATATCTGCTCAATGAATGAGCAGATATTGCGTCAGAAAAGAATTCCCCAACTTATTTGATGGAACATAAATTGATCAGTTTTTAATTCAAAGTTTAATGTCTGTCAATATTAATAGAAAATATGGATGATAAAATAACAGACCTGCGATCATCAGGAGGAAGAGTCCAGCGTTCATCATGACTGAGGGCTGCACATGTGACAAATATTGAGAAATAAAACTGAACTTTTATTTTCATATGAAAATTAACATCGTTTCATAGTTACTGTTTAATAACAAACATTTGTAAACATGTATGACAATAAATTAAATTGAATAAAATCCAAAAACACACAAACCTGAACAAGGAGAGTTTTGGTCTTGAAGAGTGAAGCGTCGAAACAATCCGTCCTTCTTAAATCGTGCCCCGTCTGTCCGACCCGTCCTCGTTAATCTGACATGTTCATGTAAAATCAGACATTAATCAGAACCCATTTGGTTAAGAGACGCTGACCGTCGATCCTGGATGCAAAGACAGAAAATACTAACGATTCATTCAAATTCAGCCAAGAGACAAAGACCTGAGGAACCAGCAGGAACCAGCAGGAACCAAAAGGAACCAACAGGAACCAAAAGAACCAACAGGAACCAACAGGAACCAGCAGGAACCAGCAGGAACCAACAGGAACCAGCAGGAACCAACAGGAACCAGCAGGAACCAACAGGAACCAGCAGGAACCAACAGGAACCAAAAAGAACCAACAGGAACCAAAAAGAACCAACAGGAACCAAAAAGAACCAACAGGAACGAACAGGAACCAACAGGAACCAGCAGGAACCAACAGGAACCAAAAGGAACCATCAGGAACCAACAGGAACCAGCAGGAACCAACAGGAACCAGCAGGAACCAAAAAGAACCAACAGGAACCAAAAGGAACCATCAGGAACCAACAGGAACCAGCAGGAACCAAATTATGAATTAGAGTTTCTGATCCTTAACACAAAGCAATCGATCTGATTTTCTCTTGAGTTTGGATGAGATTTTTGCTGAATGAGTTAAATTTGAATCTGAGTTTTTTTTCCTCCATGATTTGTTAAAACTTGTCGTTGCTCTTCTGACCTTCAGCCTGTTTTTGCATAAAGTTTTGCGTTTGCATGCGAACAGTAGCAGCGATCTGCACCAGCAGCTCCCAGTGATTTGCTTAATGTTGCCATTACTGAGGAAAACCTGCAGGAACATTTTAGATTTAAATCACAGCCACAACCTCTAGAAAATGATTTTTTATTTTCTCCTTCACAGCAGAAAGATAAAAATATTCACACCTCAACTCAAAAAAATATGAGCAGTAAATCTGAATAATCAAGTAAATTAAAGCTTGTAGCTTTTTCTTATCTTCAGAGGAGATGTTGGGGATTCCATCCTTTATCATCGATGATGGAAATGTTCCAACTTCCTGTTCTCGCTGCAGCTTCCTGTCCAACTAGTCTCATATTTAGGGTCAAAGTTCAGGAGATGCTGACAACACCATGTTGCCGTGGTTACACATTATAACAGTTGGAAGGCCTTGCTTTCCAACTGTAATTGTTAAGGTTAACACCTGTTGAACATATATTAACAAAGACAGAAAAGACAAAAGAGTTAGATTCTTTTTCACTTGCGAGGAGAACGGACAGAGATGTGCTTCAGTTACAATCTCCTACCGCTCTGAAGCACATTCTGTCTGCTCCTCTATTTTATTGTTTCTAGGATCCCTAATCACAAGGACGCTGCAGCTCTAAAGGGAGGGGAAAACAGCTACAGCGTCAAATGTTATTCACTAACTAACACACAATCATTCTGTACTAGATAATGTCCTACAAAGATTAATAAAATATGTAGTGATCAATGATGGTTTTATTGGAGGCCAGCAACTCAACCGAAGCAGAGCTCTTCACCAAGAGGTAAACCTGCAGGAAGATTTTGTTTCTGCTCTCTGTCAGTGAGGCCTTCTGAGAAAAGAATCAGAGCAAATCAACAATACAAGAAACATTCTTAATTCTATAATGAGATTAACTTAAAGGAAAGCATAAAATAAAGATACATTACAAAGATAAATGAGAATAACAAATAATTGATTAATAATATCACAATTTCTCCAACAGTAATAACGGCTCAGCATCCAGAACCAGAGAAAAAAGAAACGAATCAACCAGAAAATCTAGAAAACAAGGAATCAGAACCAGCAGAAGTTCTCCAACATGCAACATTTTCTTTTCCTTTTTCTCACCAGAAATAAAAACAAAGTTAATTAAAACTAAAGCTTTACAGCAGCTGACCAGGCAGAAAACTTTAAGCTCTGTTTCTTTGGATCAGAACTTTTTAACTTCCTTCCTTTAACAATGAGACGACAAGGTTCTTGTTTTTCAGTAAAAACATTTTTTCTGTTTGGTCTGAAGTGACATATCCTCTGTTTTAATGCTTTAAGGATCTGAGATGTTTTAAAACAGGAGGAACATGGACAAAACCTGAAAAGTGTGGCATGCATCTTATTCAGTCCCTTTGAGTCAAATAACATTGAATAACAAACCAAATCTCCTCCAGACATTATTGAACTGAAATGTGTTTTCAGAGCTGCTGCCGTTCTGCTGTTATCATGGTGTCGACTTCAAAACCCCCAAAACGTAGGAATTTTGAGTTCTATGAGCGCCATATTAATTTAACTATTCCAAAGAAACATCGGCTGATAAACTTAGCAGTTTGGAGATTCCCGTTGGTTTGAGCTGTCTAGTTGTCATATTGATGTGTAACATAAAGGGATGCAGTAGTTTGTAACCTTGTAACAACAACATAAGATCAGGAAAAAGTATTAAGTCTGAAGAAAAAGTGATGAGGGAGCAAGGTCAGCTATGCTAGCTTGACTTTGACAACCTCAACATGCAGATGTGCTGCAGATTCTGTTTTGGTTCAGTTACAACAAAAAAGGTGATAGAGCATCAGCAGAGTCGATGTTTTAGTTAAGTTTATTGGCTCTAGTGGCTTTTATTTGATATTGATTGACAGTAAAGTGGGTAATGAGAGAAAGGGAAGACGTGGGGCAAAGGTCACCAGGCCGGGAATTGAACCTGTGACCGCCGCGTCGAGCACTAAGGCCTCCTTATGTGGCTAATCCCTGTGCCGCCGCAGCACCGCGGTAGTCGGTGTTTAAATGAGCTAATCTAAGCTAATCTACCGCCGCTGTTACATTTAGCTACTGCTGTAGATCAGATCAATCACTGATCAATAATCGCAACATAAACATCAAGTCTAAAAATCTGGAATGAACTGAATGGTCTGTTCTCTGTGTGGGAAATGTTTGAGTGTTTTTGGGTTTGATTCTTTTCTGGCATTGTTGACAGTCGGTTGCTATGACAGCGGGTCTGTGTAGCGTCGAGCGAGAAAAACGAACATGAGGGATTTTGAGTTTTTCTTCTTCATTTTCCACAAATCAGTAAGAGCCACACGTCCAGGTTTCATTTGGTTCACTGGATTGTTCTACTGCTAATCAGTCGCTGAACTTGCACATGCCTGGGGCCGGCTCTGGCAGGACGCTGTGTGAATATGATGAGATGATTCTCGTTCTTCTTGCATGACTCTCCGTCGTCGGCTTCCAAACGCCGCACATGGAAACGTCTTCCTGGTCCGAGCGCCAAGCAGACGCCCGTCGTGTCCCGCCGACGTCTTCACCAGACGTTTTTTTTCTATGAAAAAAATAATTTTTTATAGAAATTTTTTTTTCTATAAATATATATCTGATTGGTTGATCAGCAACCAATAAGATAGCTTCCTTGTTTCAGCCAATCACATCAACCCATTCTGGAAGCGCCGTAGCCATGACGACACACTGACCTCAGCCGGGCTTCTGTTAGCTATTAGCTATTAGCCATTTATCTTCAATCTGAATAACGCAAAAACAAACTTTTGCCTTAATTAGAAACTGAAAACGATCAGATCAGCTGAACATGACGTTTCTGTTTTTATTAAATAAAGCAGCCAAAGGTAAAAAGTTTAAAATATAGTTTATTTCTTTGTTGATCTGAATGTAAACTCAAAGTAAAACATGAAATAGAGTTAAAAACTGAACCACCAAAACAGAAATATTTAATATTTATAGTGACTATAAAAATATAAAATTATGTAAAATCTTTTTTTTTTCAGATAAAATGTTGGATGTTTCTGTAAATTAATCAGTCGGACATCCAGTTTAGAACTGGGTAAACTGGTTTACCCATAATTCATTGCTGCATGTGACATTTTTAGTTAAAAGAAGGATTTATGGCAATGTTTTGTTTTTCCATATTTCCATAAATTCAATTTTGACTTTCAAATGCACGTGATTTTTAGAAATCAGTATTTGTGAATAAAATTTAGGATTAAATTGTTAATGTCATAATTTAAATTATCATATTAAACTTAAAGATGGAATAGATTTCTTGTGTAATATCCACTTGTGAAAATCTTCCTAGAACATTAGTGACGTTGCAGTTGTTTTGTCACAAAACACAGAAATTTATATTTATTTTGAATTTCTTTTGCAGAAAGTCATTATGGGGAAAACTTCATAAATAATTATGAAATTAAAATCTTTTTTGTGTGACTGGATTACAAATCTATTTGGTTCTTATTTTCCTTAGAGATATTAACATGATATTTAAACAATTGTTTTCTTCTACTGGGAAACAAAACTGATGTCAGGAGTTTAAAATGAAAGTTTGTAACATTTTTAGTCACAACATTTATAGTTTCTCTTAAAAATTACATTGTAGTTGTGCATCAGGTCTTTTTCTCCAGTTTTTCTATATGTTTGTCCAGAACTTGATCTTTGTTATTAGCTCATCTTTATGCTAAGCTAACCTGTAGCTGCATTAGAGACGGTAAAACATTGTGTCTATTTTTCAAACGCAGACTGTTAACTTGAATATTAGTACATTTTATTTATGAGTTCTGGCTCGTATGTTTACGAGCCAGAGCATTCTAATTCTGAACACTCGATGTTCACACGGACTGAATCCACACATCCTCGTCGGAGTGTTGGCTGCACTTTGGACCGGGTCAGAATCTCTTCAGACTGAAACCCCTGCAGCTTCAGAGACCGTTCTCTTTTTCACAGAGGTCTGACGGTCCTCCTCCTGCACAGAGAAGAAGGAAGGAGAGCAGATCACTGAGTGTCTCCAGCAGCAGTCAGTGACGCAGCACGTCCAGTCGATGGTTTCCAGTCAGACTGATCTCAGAGCTGATCAGAACCTGATCAGTTGTTTCCTGTTGAACTGAGAGAACAAGCAGGTCTGAGATCAGATCTGCTGCTGTTTGATGAATGAGGACCACTGTCTCTAGACATGTTGGACGCTGGAGTCCAGCTGGACGTCCTGGAGACATGGACACAGCAACAACACAGCAAGCTGCTGCTCCTCTGATTGGCTGATTGCTGTGTCCAATCAGGAAGCCTGAACCATTCTCCTCCCACTGAGAAGCTGCAGCTTTACTGGGAACACTGGATCTTTGCTTTGATGCTGACTGGGTTTAGTTCAATATGCTGACAGCAGCTGGACTCACTGCAAACATTTACTTACTTTAAAGTCTCAACAAGATCCTTCAGCTGCTGAACATCTGATTCCTTCAGGTTGTTCCATCTCAGGTCCAGTTCTGTCAGACGGGTCGGGTTGGACTTCAGAGCTGAGACCAAATAATCACAGCTGATCTTTGACAAACTGCATTGATCCAATCTGAATAAAGAATAAAAGATGTGAACCAACAGGATGCAGGTTAACCAGTCCAACAGAACCAGTTAAAGATTCTCATAAATATTAATGCCAACAAGCTGCTGCTCCAATAAAGACCTGCTGACTTCAGAACCAGAACCAGAACCTGGTACTGGGTCATGATGTGTTGGAGGATTTCAGTCATTAAAATCATTCCAGGTTCTGATCAAAGTGTTGAAGCATCAATCATTGATTATTGATTTGTTCCTGTCAGATTCCAGGAATTCACTTTTCTAGACTGGATGACCTTTGACCTGCTTGACCTGAGGGGGATTTCTACACACTGGGGTCTGAATGCTGTCCTGTTCTGACCTCAGATCAGCAGGTCCAACTCAGTTACACAGAGAAACTAAATTAAACTCTGGATCCAGGAACAAACTCAGAAAATATTGATTAGATCAGAAGAAATGAACTTTGATTGATGATCAATTATATAGAATTATTCACAGAAATATCAATAATTATATCATTAAAATACTTCAATGTCTCCAGTCTGCAGCCTTCAGTCTGTAGAAAACCACAGAGATCCTTCAGTCCAGAACCTTCCAGGTTGGTTCCGCTCAGGTCCAGTTCTGTCAGATGGGTCGGGTTGGACTTCAGAGCTGAGAACAGAGACGTCCAGCTGGTCTCTGAGAAACTGCAGCTCCACAATCTGAATAAAGAATAAAAGATGTGAGCTGTTATGTTAATAAATTGTGTTGTGATTTAAAGATAAGCCTGCAGAGTTTCTTCTTCACAGAAGAAGCACAGCCGGTCCGGTTCTGTTCGACACGGTCCTGTTGGTCACATGGCCCTGGTCAGGGGAGCCTCAGCTGTCATCATGGAAAGATAATATAATTTAGATTGCTATTTTCAGCCTGTGGTTTGTACTATAAAGTGTTTATTAGACTAAGGTTTGCTTTGAGACAGTTTGATGATTCTCAAATGGAGCAGCAAACAAGAAAAGTCATGGATTTCATTATTAGTAAAGGTTAGACGGCAATAACGTGATTTTGTTTAGTTTTTAATAAAATGTCCGTTTTGTGGCTGTCGTTTGTATGTCTAAAGAATTCAGTGAAGGAGAAGCTGTTCATGTAGATTGGGTTCTTGGGTATTTGCAGCAAACAAGATGGCGAATCAGTCAGGATACATGAGACTGAAACTGTACATGTGAGCTGGTTTATTTTGTCTTGATGCTCATTGTTGCCAGCAGTCGGCAAAAAACACAAATTGATATTAAACTAAAATATTATAGCAATAGAGGCCCAACTAATACAAACTCAGACAAAAATATCTAATAGGAAACTCAACCATCCATATGTTATATAAGTCCACAAAATACACAAATAATTCAACTGACGTAAAGATGACATCATCAGTCTCAACCAGTCCTACGTAACATAAGAGGCACTTTGGCGCCATCATGCGGCCAGATAAAATCCCGCAGTAAGACAACAGAAAGCAACAACAGATGCAGCCGACATGCAGTTACAAATAACGGGATTTCAGGTCAACCTGCGAAGGCTGAGCAGATTCAAGTCAAACATCACATCCCGGCCCTGCAGAGGTTCACACACATGCAACACACTGAATCCAGAATAAACAACTTACTTTCTGTCATCAACTGAACACTGGCAGCAGCACTTCTCAGGACTACACCAGGAATGCGGTCTCACATGCGGAAATGCAGCGAACTGACCCGGAAGTATATTAAAGCAGCCCTAAAACAGGCCTAGATCCGCCCCTGGTGGAAACCGCAAAAACCTCCAGCAGAAACGCAAGACTGGTATAGCAGCACACCAGCCGCGATCTCAGTCGCGATCCCAACCACAGATGGTACAAATGGTACTGAGAGTCTCAGGTGAGCCATCAACACACAGGCCACTCAGGCAGCCGAAGCGAAGCCACGCCCACCCCGCAGCGTCTGCCCCGCCCACCAATCAACGGTGTGCAGAGTGGGGAACACCATCCACCACATTCTGCATCCAGCTTCTTAGCTGAGGGAATCATTTTCCACATCTTCACAAGATTTAACAAAAAATAAATAAACCTCATTGCAGAGTGATCTCTGAGCTGGACTACCGCTGCGGTTTGTGGGATTCTTCAATTGGAGAAATGTTATTTACATTTACTGTGAACATATTTTGCGAAAGAGGTGATTGTAATCCCAATGTAGGAGAACAACTGATGCAGACCAGGAAGTGGAGACATTCATTCAGGAAACCACAGAAAATGGCTCAGAATTTAGATGCAAATGTTCAATTTAATTATTTATATCCAGACTGTTACTGGGACCAGTCAGTCTACGTTTTTTTCATATTTATCTATTTAATATGGTGACGTAATGGGGATCATTCGTTCAGCTTGTTTAAAATTATTTTAACCAAAAGAAAATGAATTGAATATTCTGTCATTATCATTTAAAAAAACTTACGGTTAACAATAAATTATGACGGAATCTTTTTGACGCCACATGTTAAAATGACAGACGTTTATCTAACCTACAGATGTGGAAAACGACTCGGCCCGCCCCCAGCCAATCAATCAATCAATCAAATTTTATTTGTATAGCACATTTCAGCAGCAAGGCATTTCAAAGTGCTTTACATCATAAACACAAGAACACAAAGTCATGCAACATATAATAAACAATACATTGTTACATATTACAAAAAAACAAAAACAGTTCTAAACAGGTGCGTTTTTAATTGATATTTAAAAGAAGTCAGGGTTTCTGCTGTTTTACAGTTGTCTGGAAGTTTGTTCCAAAGTTTTGGTGCATAGATGCTGAAAGCTGCTTCTCCTCTCTTGGTTCTGGTTCTGGGGATGCACAGCAGAACCAGAACCAGAACCAGAAGACCAATGCACCAATCAACGGCCAACGCCAAACCAGCCCGGTCTGGCCGGCCGGTTGGACCCGCAGCTCCTGGGGTTCCAGGCAGCGGGATGGTACCCGCTAATGCAAAAACAATCAGTCGTGCTTTGAAGCCAGACTGCCGGGTCGGGTCGGGTCGGGCTGATGTCTGTTCAGTGTTTGCTGATTGAGAACACAGCTCAGATTCTCTCCTTCAGTCTCTGTAACAGCTCAGCCCATCCAGGCTGCTGCTCTTGGAACAATAACCTACACAAACTGAAGGCTAGTTCTGCTGGTTCCTGATCATCAGACCCGACTTGGTAACTGGATCAGAACCACTCATTCATTAATGGCCTTTGGGTTCCTATTAAAGCTGCTGAAAGCCAATGGAGGCCATTATTTCCTCAGGAGACGGTTCCTCTCTGACCCGGCCCAACAGAACCACAGCCTCAGGACAAAGCTGAGGAACCTGCTGCTGCTGCAAACCTCACTTTCATTCATTGCATCTAGATTTGCTTTTCTACAATCAGTGGTTTCTTAGACGTTCATAATGAGGATTTGAAACTCGTCAGTGTTTGTGGCTCTGGAGGATCAACATTCATTCTGATGTAAAGAATCAGAAATAAAAGCATCTGAATCTTTACCAAACTGAAACATCTCCATCATTCATTCACAGCATTTCAATTATTTTACTCATTTGTTCATCAAAAACATTTTAAAGAGAAAAACTGAAAAACAAAGTTAAACAACAAAAAACTTCCTTTATTAGGTAAAAGGCTCCAATATATTTTCTGTTTAAAACAAATATTAGAATAGAATTATTAATTAGATAAATAGAGAAAACAAACCTCAGATTCTTCACTTTACTGACTGAATTCTCCAGGATCTCAACCATGATTCATATCAGATTCTCCAGCTTTCATCTATGTAGATCAGATTTATTTCCAGTTCAGTCAGATCTGGGTTGGACTTCAGAGCCGAGGCCAAAACTTCACATTCAGCCTTTTGGATCCAACAGCCACCAAGTCTGTGATTAGAGAAGAAATAAATTCAGTTCTAATGAAATCAATCTGGATCATAAACAGACTAAAATATGATAAAAGTGATGTCATCATCTGATCATCATCTGATCAATATCTGATCAATATCTACTGAGTTTGACCCCACAGAGAATCGATGCAGCAGTTCCTGGTTAGAGTCCAGGTTCTGGTTGTCCAGGTTCTGGTTCTGGTTCAGGTTCTGGTTCTGGTTCTGGTTCTGGTTAAAGTCCAGGTTCTGGTTCTGGTTCTGGTCCAGGTTGTGGTTCTGGTTAAAGTCCAGGTTCAGGTTCTGGTTCTGGTTCTGGTCCAGGTTCAGGTTCTGGTTCTGGTCCAGGTTCTGGTTCTGGTCCAGGTTCTGGTTCTGGTCCAGGTTCAGGTTCTGGTTCTGGTCCAAGTTCTGGTTCTGGTCCAGGTTCTGGTTCTGGTCCAGGTTCAGGTTCTGGTCCAAGTTCTGGTTCTGGTTCTGCTCCAGGTTCTGGTTCTGGTCCAGGTTCGGTTCTGGCCCAGGTTCTGGTTCTGGTCCAGGGTTCTGGTTCTGGTGGTTCTGGTCCAGGTTCAGGTTCTGGTCCAAGTTCTGGTTCTGGTTCTGGTCCAGGTTCTGGTTCTGGTCCAGGTTCTGGTTCTGGTCCAGGTTCAGGTTCTGGTTCTGGTCCAGGTTCTGGTTCTGGTCCAGGTTCTGGTTCTGGTTCTGGTCCAGGTTCTGGTTCTGGCCCAGGTTCTGGTTCTGGTCCAGGTTCTGGTTCTGGTTCTGGTCCAGGTTCAGGTTCTGGTCCAAGTTCTGGTTCTGGTTCTGGTCCAGGTTCTGGTTTGGTCCAGGTTCTGGTTCTGGTCCAGGTTCTGGTTCTGGTCCAGGTTCTGGTTCTGGTTCTGGTCCAAGTTCTGGTTCTGGTCCAGGTTCTGGTTCTGGTCCAGGTTCTGGTTCTGGTCCAGGTTCTGGTTCTGGTTCTGGTTCTGGTCCAGGTTCAGGTTCTGGTCCAAGTTCTGGTTCTGGTTCTGGTCCAGGTTCTGGTTCTGGTCCAGGTTCTGGTTCTGGTCCAGGTTCTGGTTCTGGTTCTGGTCCAGGTTCTGGTTCTGGTCCAGGTTCTGGTTCTGGTCCAGGTTCAGGTTCTGGTCCAGGTTCTGGTTCTGGTCCAGGTCTGGTTCTGGTCCAGGTTCTGGTCTGGTTCTGGTCCAGGTTCTGGTCTGGTCCAGGCTTCATGTCCTCAGACCTTCAGCTGCAGTCAGATGTTGAAGATCTTCTATCATCAGTGAAGGAAAGTTCAGTTTCTCTGCAGCAGCTGATGAAGAGGCTGACTGAGCTGAATGAAGGAAACGACTGGAGATGATGGAGAGGAAGAGGAACTGCTCACAGCTCTGACTTGGACTAGACCGTTTAGATCAAGCAGGAAGTGAGTTATAAATGAAGTGAGCAGAACAGGAAGTCCAGCTGCTGTGGACCTCTGGCATCTCTGGGTTTGTTGAGCCAATATCTGCTGCATCATCATGAATAATAGTAATATATTGTATAGAAACATGTTTCCCAGCAGCAGGTTATTAAATGCTGCCACAGAGGAAACTGGGAGCAGAACAAACACATGATGCTCCAGTTCTGTCTCCGTTCATCTGCTGGATTTGATGCTTTAACAAAGTAGAAAGTGGACAGTCGTCAACCTGCTGCAGCTAAAAGCTTCACGTTGTTCTGGTCGTCCTGCAGAGCAGCAGCAGAACCGGTCCTGCTGCTCCTTCGGGTCAGAACCGTCCTCTCAGACTGTCGATCTGAGAGGAACTGGGACAAACTGGTTGGAAGAGGGACACATGTCTCTGCAGTGGTCTGTCCATTGTCTCAGAGGAACAAAGGTTTGGATGTCAGGAGAAATTGTTGCTAAACTCCTAAAGAGCTGAAGAGCAAAACCCCTGGAGGAGACGGAGCGTTTGGGTCCAGCAGCATTTCATGGCGAAGCAGTGAAAGTTCTCCAGTCACTAGAAGAGGCTGGATGTCTCCAGAGTTGAAGCTCATGTCTCTGCAGGTCTTCCTGGAGGACAGCTGCAGCTTCAACAAAGGCTGCAGATGTAGTTAAAGGCCAAAACCATCCAGAATCAACTTGAAGACAGAAGAAGAAACAGGAGGACAATAGAGCTGAATCAGCATCACACAATGAAAACATCTGGACTCACCGAGCCTTTCTGCAGTTCCTCACAGCTGGAACCAGTCTCAGTCGTCCTGATTCTGATGTGTTGTACTTCTCCAGGTCCAACTCATCCAGAACCTCTGACATCTGCAGCATGAAGGCCAGAGCTGAACAGTCAGACTCTGAGAGCTCCTTCCCTGAATCCAGCAGCCGTTGGATCTCCTGATAAAATGAGACGTCGTTCATCTCCACCAGACAGTAGAAAGATGTTGATGCTTCTGGCAGGAGAGATTCTATCAGAGTTCATCTCCTTCAGGTTGGTGATGATTCTCTGGATGGTTTCTGGTCTGGTTTCTCTGACCCAGCAGGCCTCCTAAGGTACTCTGGTTGGACTCCACAGTGAGACCATGAAGGAAGCGGACAAACAGGTCCAGGTGGCCGTTCACTGCTGAGGGATTCTCCATGGCTTTCTTCATAAACTCATCCAAAGAAAATGAAAAGTAATATTTTCCAGGAACATCTTGATGACTTTTGTTTTCCTCCATGTGGTGAAGCAGTGGAGCATGTAGACTGCAGCCAGAAACTCCTGGATGCTCAGATGAACAAAGGAGTAGACGGATTTGTTGCGCACTCCTCTCTCCTTTCTAAACATCTCAGTGAAAACTCCTGAGAACAGCGAAGCATCCTTGATCTTGATGCCGCACCGTTTGAGGTCTTTGTCATAGAAGATCAGGTTTCCCTTCAGCAGCTGATCAAAAGCCAGTTTTCCTAGAGACTCAATCAGCTTCCTGTTCTCTGGACTCCAGATAGATTTGCTCTTTTTTCCCATTACTTTTCCTCCTTGATTTTGAGTTGAACCAGCAGGAACTTTATGTACATCTCAGTCAGAGTCTTGGGTAGTTTCTCTCTCTCTCTGGTCTTCATCACATCCTCCAGAACTTTAGCAGTGATCCAGCAGAAGACGGGGATGTGACACATGATGTGGAGACTTTTGGATTTCTGGATGTGGGAGATGATCCTGCTGGCCTTTCTTCATCATCTCTGAATCTCTTCCTGAAGTATTCCTCCTTCTGGGGGTCAGTGAACCTTCTGACCTCTGTCACCATGCCAACACACTGAGGAGGGATCTGATTGGCTGCTGCAGGTCGTGTGGTTATCCAGAGGAGAGCAGAGGGAAGCAGATTCCCCCTGATGAGGTTTGTCAGCAGAACATCCAGAGAGGCTGACTTTTCAGGGTCAGTTAATATTATTGTGTTGTTGAAGTCCAGTGGAAGTCGGCTCTCATCCAGACCATCAAAGATGAACAGAACCTGGACCTTTTTAAAGCTGCGGATTCCTGCATCTCTAATATCTTCAAAGTGGTAATGAATCAGTTCCACCAAGCTGAACTTTTCTTCTTTCTAGTTATTCAGCTCTGAAGGTGAATGGAAATATGAAATCAATGTTCTGGTTGGTTTTGCCTTCAGCCCAGTCCAGAGTGAACTTCTGTGTTAACAGTGTTTTCCCAATGCCAGCCACGCCCATGGTCACTGTCCTGATTGGTTGATCACTTCCAGGTGGGACTTTAAAGATGTCTTCTCGTCTGACTGTTTCTTGTTTCCTGCATGCTGTTTCAATCTGTCTGAACTCATGTTCATCATTGACCCCTGTAGTTAACCCCTTTGTGATGTGGAGCTCTGTGTAGATCTGGTTCAGTAGGGTTTCATTTCCATGTTCAGCGATGCCTTCACAAAGACTTTGGAAAGTCCTTTCACAAACTTTTTAAGCTGCTGTTGACACTGAAAATAAAAATCTGAAAAAAAGACACAATTCAGCTAAATATAGAGAATTCAATTATTTTTGATTTGCATAAAAACTTTCATGAATAAGTAAAATCAATAAATTCATAAAAATAAATGCTCTAATCCAACTTCAGTCTGTGAGGAGGAGAAAATGTGAGACTTTTGAACGGACTGATTGGTGCTCTGTTTGGGGACATTTCAGCATATCACCATGCCGGGGTAGTTGAATACACAGAGCCTTTGTGTCACTTTGATGTCATTGAAATGATCACAGAGAAGAGTTTCTGTGGACCACCTCACTTCAATGAACGTTCAGATTTCCAACTGAGTCCAGGTCACATTGTTCTGGTCTGTCATCATGGTGACTCAGACTCATGTTGTCTCATCATGTCAAGGTTCAGGTAGAAAGTGACTGGACGTTGCTCAACATCAGAGAAAAAATTCTGGTTAATTTGTTCATTTTTAATCAAGAAAATAATAATTTTTATTATTTTCTTGTGTATTTGCTGCTGTATTCATATTCAGTGGTACGACGTGATAATGTCTCTCACTGTGTATCAGTCCTGATATACAGATGCATGTTCCACTGCTCTGAGGAACAATGCTAAACATGCTAAACGCCACAAGGTGCCACCAAACATCAGAGACCAGTTTTTGAAGATGGGATCTGAACAGGAAATGTTCCATGAGCATGAAGTGGTTTATTCTGAGGCTGTGAATTTGTTAAGTTTACCTGTGTGAAGTAAACAGAGAGGCTCAGATTTGAAGCAAAGACAGTAGCGGTTGAGCTACAAAAGTAGCTTTAATGAAGTGTTTGTTCACCTTTAGCAGGGGAAACCCCCAGCTTCTTGGACAGGGTAGGATCTATCTTGTGAAGATGCTGGATCATTATTTCACTGGCTCTCTGTCCTTTCATCCTCACAGCGTCAATGGTCTCCCGGGCCTTGTTTGCTGTTATTTGGTTC